CAAACCTCATCAAGGCGGTTGCTGTTGAAGTGTCCCGACAAGGGGTGCTGCCCCCTCCCCTTATGCTCTCTAATTGCCGAGCTTCTGAAAACAATGGGCGAAAAACATGGGAGGGCCAACCCCAACCGATTCAAGTTTGACAGGCCGTGGCTCCACGGCAATGCCAAAGCAAACAACATACATTCGGGGCAATCTTAGCACACGAGAACAAGAAAGCCAGCCATTTTCCGCGGTACTCTGGTGAAACACACACACGTGCAGGCCTCAGAGGGACCTAACATTCATGCTTGCAACTAGTCGTAACATCTCCAAAGACCCAGCTCGATGTTCGTATGCTGCGTACGGGAACGTGGGCGGAGGCTGCTCTACATGATAATGGTTGCATCATGCAAGGTCATCCCAATTGCCGGCTGGGTTACAAGACACCAGGCAAACCTCTTGAACATGGCTGTGGCTCAAAAAAGTGGAACCCATTTTGGGGCCCCTTGGACGGAAACAAAGACCGTAACCCCAGCCCTGAAATTTTGAGCCACACCCATGGGTGAGCTAGTCCCCTTTGAACAGGCCTGAGGCTCAGGAATCGGGAGCTGAGCTCTGGACTTGGCGCGCTGCAGATGGCTCCCGATGAGCTCTTTCAAAGACCTGCGTCTTCGGTTCGTAGACGTGGCGGGTGGAAATGCGCTCCAACAATTTCAAGGGTTATGAAGCTTCCAGCATCAAGCACAGGAACTGTGGACGCGAGACAATCAAGAAAAGGAACATTGGTATCTCTTTTGAGGGAGTCCCTTTTGCGATTCTAGAGGGACACCAACAGGCACTTCCCCATCATGGAGGTTCCCCCATTGAGAGACAACCACATATCTTCAGGGCCTGCATAGCTAGAACGGAGCTATCCATTACAGTCACTGTCATAAAATCATGACGTACACAATCATTCCTAAAAGAGTTTCAACAAAAATCATTCCATGATGCTACGCACATGATTCTCCTTTCGTGCTTGTGTGACTGGAGGCAATGCGCTTCTCTGAAACCATCTAGTCCAGCCGTTCGGGTCTTGGGAAGTGTGCCATCTGGTGCGTCCTTTTGTGGAGGGTTCCCGTTTTGGATGGCGTTTAAAGGAAACCAGAAGGCCGGGCATTTTCGCAGGGTCCAAATCCCTGGATCCAAATCCCTGCTTTGAGACAAACCCATCCACTTTCACCCAGCTGTGCTTCGACTCGCGCATGGCGAACTCCTAGCGTCGCCTTGTCAGCGTCACCGTGGCCGCCTTTGCCCTCCCGGCGGACTCCTGGCGCGGCACGAGCACAAGTCAAGCAGTGAAAACATCGGGCACTGGATTTCCCCTTCACAACTTGCAATTTGCTGGTGGTGTCCATTGAAACTGCCACTTTTGGAGGTTCCGCAAGGGAAATGGAGGGAAGCCTGAAGAAAAATAGTGATGTCCATAGAGAAACGATCTTGCCAGGCCCGGCTCGTTTGTCTTTGAGTGAGAACTTTGTGTTAGCATGCTTGAGTTGTGGTGTGGCGGTATGGCTCGTGGGCAAGTCATTTAGACTACAGGGCTCTTGTTTCCAGTCTGGGTATTACTTTGTCGCGTCTGTCAGGTAGAAAATTCTGACAGGGAATCTCCTGGCGTAGTCCATTTGCATTGCAGCGTTTTGAAGGTACAGGCTTCCCTTACTTTGCTTCGCGCGCTTTCTGGCAGTGATACACTACACCGTCTGTTCTTGGATGTTTTGCCACACAGGGTATCTTGCGGCGTAGTCCATGTGCTTTACTTGTGTGTGTGTGCGCGCGCGTTGCTTGGCGTTTGTTGACAGTCAGGGTCTGTATCTTTGTAGTCCATGTACTTTACTTAGCAGTTTCTGCCAGTCAGGGTGTAGTCCATGTACTTTCCGTCAGCCAGGGCTGATATCTTCGGCCGCTTACGTCAATACTCATTGTTTGCCTATTGCAGTCACTTCCACAATAATGCCGCTTTTGCGAGCGATAATCAGTCGCATTCAAAACTTTGCTTGAGTAGCGACATGCTCCCAACAACATTGAAACAACCAACAACGAGCAAACATTCAACGGCCCTAGACCGAGCCTTACCAGAAAAGACAAAGAGCAGCACAGGGTGTCATCCATCCCAACACTCCTTCTGTGATTCCTTTGGGGGAAGTTGAGACAGGTGTCAACATATCCAAGCAGGATATGGCTTATTCAGCAAGCCTGCCGCCGGGCAGTACCCAATAGAGGCATGCTCAGAAACCTCCTGTGGCTGGTGTGCTGGTGTTGTTGCACTGCCCACATGACATGGGGAGGACCGGTGGGGGCCAGTTGAAACTTGGGTGACCCTCTTCTTTGCAGGGATTTGTAGCTTGGCACCATTCAACGAGAATTGGCTTTGAGGCGCCTTCTGTTGGCAGGTCACTTGGGCGCCAACTTTGGCCATTGTGCATCCACACCCTCCTCCCGGTGAACGGCGATGCGCAGCAAGAAACGCACGAAGCCCGACCTTAGCCATCCATTCCCTCAAACTAGGCAGCCGCTTCGCTTGGAGCAGGTAAGAACTGCCAGCTGGATGTCTGCAGCGCTTCGCGCAGTGTTTTCCGTCGACTTCTGCGCCTCGGCCTGCTGACCGCAACCGGCTCTGTCGCAAGTCTGTGACCAGCAAATGTTATATATATATATATATTGTATATATAACTATATACGTATACACGTCGCACCATGTTCTTAATCTGCAAAACATCGATCTTCACCTGGCCCGCAAAGAACAGCAGGCAGGTCGAATTGTCAGGGCCGCTGCAACCTGTACATTCATAGAAAACAAGCAGGAACGTCTGTGAGAACTGATTCACTCACAGGTACTGTCGCTCCAGAAATTGTTGCCGGAGTTCCTCTGATACACAGTTGGGATGGGGTCAGTCAAGCCAGCAAATCAGACTAAACTCTCTCACTCAGAAGTTCACACGTTACATATCTGAATGTTTGTCCTGTTTGCAGCTGACAAGTGACCAACCCCAGATCTATGCTGGACCGCCGACGAAAATTGGCAGAAACCGGTCGGCAAATTTAGCAACACGCAGCGGTTCATGCCTTCACCACCTGGTCGCGGTCAGCAATGAGGAGCGGGACCAGAAATGGGCATTCGTCTTATCCCCAGATCCAATTTAGTGTGCCCTATCCTCCCAACAATCATGGCAGCGCACGGCTCCCTTTCAAATAGGACAGTCTTCCAAAAGGGGCCCCGGCACGTTTTTGGGTTTTTGCGTGTATATACCAAAGGAGCCTCGAGGGGCCATGGCAACGAGAAGCCAACACGAATATCCAACAATGATCTGTGGTTGTAATCATGCCAGTGACACAAAATCCTTTGGATAAGTGCCCTTGCTCCATGGGAACCGATGAATCTCCGAATCTCCAGTCCAAGTCTGTAGCAAAGTCATCCAGGGCCCAAGGAAGCTAACCCTGACCTTGGCTTCCCTAGGCGTCCCTAGACTTTCCCTAGACTTTCCCTAGACTTTCCCTAGGCTTCCCGCGGACTGGGCACCCCAAAACGAAAGCTCCAAGCCACAGCCTTTGCCAGCGCTGCAAAGTCCTTGACGCACACGTCCAGGGCATCAGATGCCTGGCCCATGAACCTCGGCCCAGGGAAAGGCTCAGAGTTCAAAGGAAAGGCTTGAGGACCATCCTGGTCTAGGAAACCGCTTGGATGCGGTTTTTGTGGATCCACCCCTGTGGGCAACTAAAAGAGTACTAAAAGAGTACTAAAAGAGTACCAAAAAGAACCTAAAGGGGGAAGAACAGGTGAAATCCACAAAAGGCGCATCCAAACCGTTTTCTATTCAAACCATGGGTTGGTTGGTTGGTTTGGGTTTGGTTTGGTTTGGTTGGGTTTGGTTTGGTTTGGTTTGGTTGGTTGGTTGGTTAGTTGGTTGGTTGGTTTGGTTGGGTTGGTTTGGTTTGGTTTGGTTGGGTTGGGTTGGTTTGGTTTGGCTTGGTTTGGTTGGTTGGTTTGGTTTGGTTGGGTTTGGTTGGGTTTGGTTTGGTTTGGTTTGGTTTGGTTGGTTGGTTTGTTTGGTTTGGTTTGGTTTGGTTGGCTTGGTTTGGTTTGGTTTGGATTGGTTGGATTTGGTTTGGTTTGGTTGGGATTGGTTTGGGTTGGTTTTGGTTTGGTTTGGTTTGGTTTAGTTTGGTTGGTTGGTTGGGTTTGGTTTGATTTGGTTTGGTTTGGTTTGGTTGGTTGGTTGGTTTGGTTGTTTGGTTGGTTGGTTGGTTGGTTGGTTGGTTTGGTTGGTTGGTTGGTTGGTTGGGTTTGGTTTGGTTTGGTTGGTTGGTTGGTTGGTTGGTTTGGTTGTTTGGTTGGTTGGTTGGTTGGTTGGTTCGTTGCCTCGTTGCCTCGTTGCCTAGTTGCTTGGTTTGCGTACCACTGTTCTATTGAACTCATCTAGACTCAAAAATGTGAAAACACTCTTCTCTGTTGCGCCTGCTCGTGAGGTACGGCTAGGAAGTGCAGAGGGTTGGTACGTATCATGAGTGCGGGTACGAGGTGCGGGTGCGATGATAGGGGGGTGCGTGTCTGAGGTGCGCGTACGCGGTGCGCGTACATGGTATCGGTGCGATGTGTAGATGCGCGCCTGTCCCCTGCACCCTTACCCCCCCGCACCCTTGGCCTGAACCCGTACCACGTACCCAATTCGCACTTGATTTAAGACCTAACCAGCCGCTACATCGGAACTATACGTTGAAACTAAAGTGTGTCTTTTCCAGGTACCCAAATGGAAAGTGTCCTTGGCAGGTGCGCCGTTTTCCAGCCAAAACAAACACAACAATGGATAAGGCATGACAAATACTGAGAAGCTCACAGAATGAGCGTGAATCCCTGACTCTATTCTGTCTTGCTCTGACCATGGGTGATCCCCAATCCGAATCCACAATCCAAGAGACACAGGCAAAATCATCTCCATTCATAAGGCTGACAAGGAATTGACTTTGATCAACCCGGTCTACTTGGCAGTGCAGCCGTGCAGCCGCTGTGGCTTTGCGAAGTGAAAAATTTGAAACTCAGATTTGTTGGAGAGGTGCCGCACGTGTTGTGTTCCCTTGCAAGGGTCCCTATGTAGATTATCTGGGCTGTCCTCAGATTTCGCGCTAAAAGTTTACCTTTAAGTGGGTTGAATGGACATCCCCACTAAGCACTAAAAAGCTAGAAATCTAAGGGGATGGCTGGGAGCCACCAAGCTTTGTATCAGCTGCTTGCTGTACTTTTACTCCCATGAAATGCAAGATGCATGCTAAATTCTCCCTGTCGCGGCATGCCCTTGGCCAACACACAAGCCAATGCCCACTTCGGATCCATGATCCCCTCCACAAACGTCAGGAAAAGATTCCCATTGCATATCTTGGCGTGCTATGAGATTCCCTTAGCTACCCTCAAACACACACACACACACACACACACACACACACACACACACACACACACACACACACACACACACACACACACACACACACACACACACACACACACACACACACACACACACACACACACACACACACACACACACACACACACACACACACACACACACACACACACACACACACACACACACACACACACACACACACACACACACACACACACCGCTAAAACACGCAACGAGCGGCTTGCGAAAGCTTTCAGGGCCGCCGTTGATGGCGAAGATGGTGCAGTAGGCCTCACAGCCGTTGAGGGGTTGTCGAAATTGTCAGACCCCCAAAATGGGCTTCGGTTTTTCGTTGGTCTCCTTTCACACCCAAATAGCATCAAACATCTCTAGGATTTCAGGGCCCAGACAGAACATCAAACAAATGCCAGCTGATGCAAAGGAGCCACATCCAGGTAAGTCAGGTGGGTTTGGATGCATCCTTGTACCAGGAACCCTGAGCCTACAGGGTAGGTCCTCATACAGGACTCGCAGGGTGGAGATTTGGCCAACAAGGCCACAGGAATCCAAATTTCCCGTCTGCCTAATCCGCGGGGCCATGGGAACAAAACAGAAGGGACTTCGGATTTTTCAATCGGCCCCGGGCACCATGGGGCAGTCTCGAGGACCTGCATTTCTCTGCTCAGGTTGGGACATCTTGAGGGAACACGAAAAGGAGCAAGCCTGTCACAGTAGCTTCCTATCGGATCGTGTCGAGTAGCTTCTCAAGTTTTCGACAAAGGCAATTGCTGTAGATCCCCCTTTCGAAACGCAGGCATCACGGTTGCCCCGGGCGTTCTGAAGCCCGACGCTCGCAGCAAACTGCCCCTTGCGAATGCTCTTTGCGGACCCCAACAGTGGCAGTTACTTCTTGGGATTCGATTTGGAGGGTGGGGGGGGCCGGGGGGCGGTGCCCTCCAAAAAGCAGAAGCATGACACGCACACATGGCTGTGGGTCCAAAAGGGGTATAAATGGAAGCCTGGTAAATGGAACCAAGGACTCAAATCTGCGGTGGTTTAATTTTGGTGGTTTAATTTTTACCCATACACATATGGAGCCCACAAGTGGGCCTGACGCCGGGAGCCGCGGAGCCGCGGCACTGGAGCCCAAGCGGACAATGAAAACGAGAGGACCACCAGAAAGCGATGAGATGGATTACCCAAAACCGGTATACCCTCCCGTTGTTCATGGAGCCTTGGCATTTGGAGGTTTCAGCTTTAGCCCCGATGGTTTCGGTCGGGTTGTAGGCAATCCAGCAGCATCCTGCCCCCTTTCAAAGGGCAAAACTCATCAGCAATACTATTGTCAGCTGCCATGCGGACAAGTCGGTACTCACAAAGGGAGTCTAGCCGTCTAGCCCCTCCTGAAGGCTCCAGCCTCCAGAAGACCGATTCCCAGTCAACACAGCAATCATGGAATCCCATCCTAGGACTGCAGCCACGTCTCGGCCGTGAACACAAAGCCGCCCGTACAGAATCAACCCCAGCGGATCCAAGTTACCATAGTAACCAACCAGAAGAAAAGCACAACTGGCAGTTTTCTCTTTTCGGTTTCCTTTTAAAGCCACAAAACAGGGCCACCAACTCCAAAACGAGGACAGAGCCATAATATTAATAATATGGGTATGGGTCAAAATTTAACCACCAGAGGACAGCAGCTGGTTTCAGTCGTTGTTTCCATTTACCAGGGCAAGCCATTTTGGGTTCCTATTTTTGACCATCCAGTTGCGTTGGTTCCTACTTGTACATGGAATCACTGGGTCTGGCTGAGTCTTCACAGAGCTTTTACCACCGACCCACTCGAATTGCTCAGGCCGAGGGGCCTGATAGTCTAGCTGGGAGATGTGTTGCAGCACATCCTGGGGCAAAGGTACAAACGCAAATGGCAGAAATTCCTGTGTGTACACAAACTAAAATTTGCGACCAGCAATTTTCACACTATCAACTGTGCTGAATTATATAGAAAGGGGCCAATCACAGACTGTGTACAATTGCAGTTGAACATCTTTGCATCCTGATCGTGTGCCTTGTAGGACCT